CGGATTGTTTCCACCTGTGTCCAATCACCTGCACCTCCCTAGTGTATTTAAGCAGTGTGTGTCTCTTGTCACTTGTGGCGTCATTGTCTTTTGTCCTGCATGGTCCTCGTTTGTGCCAGCCTTTTTTCCCCCCCGGTACTTGTATGTGTTTTTTGCCCGTTGGCCTTTTGCTTTATTGGAGTTTATGACTATTAAAGTCTATTTGCTTTAAAGTCTGTGTTTGAGTCCTGCCTTCCTACACAACCCTGACAGAGAGGCCACTAACTAATGTTTTATCCGTTTAAAAAACAACTAATTAAGTTGAGACTGATTTACCAAACCAAATCTACTCGAAGCGAAACAAGCAGAGAGAGAGTTAATTTGCCAGCTTGCTCTCAAATAAGCTGCGATCTGTAGAACCGACGAGGTGAAACAAGCTGTGTAAATGTAACACACCTATTGTATGAAGTGAGTCAACATTGAGTCACTCAGAGACCTGCAGGGGCCACGTGTGGCTCTTTATCTGACTTTCCACAGAGGGAACATTTAGATCCACAGATGTTTCACACAATACAAAAAGAAGTATTAACTTGTGTATTATAACATGTTTTTACCAAGCCTCTCTTGGCTCATCCTTTTGACACAGAAGGACATGGTGGACACACGTGTGTGTGTGTGTTCATGCTTCAACCCTTTACGGTGCATGTTTTACTGTTTTATATGTAGCTTGTTCACGACGCACCAGATTCTCCTCTGAAAAGCTCTAATCACACGACAGTCTGTCCGCTCAGTTCTGCTTGTGATTCTCCCTTGTGAAGAACATGCAAAGGGATCAGTGAGTCATCTATATACCTACACATCTATACATACATACATCTACACGTCTATACATCTATACGTCTATGCATCTATATGTATATACATCTATACGTATATACATCTATACATCTACTCCTCATGAAGAACATGCAGAGGGATCAGTGAGTCATCTATATACCTACACGTCTGTACATATATACAACTACGCATCTATGCATCTATGCATCTACACATCTATACATCTATACATCTACATATCTATACATATATACATCTACACGTCTATACATATATACATCTACATATCTATACATATATACATCTACACATATATACATCTACACATCTATACATCTACACGTCTATACATCTATACGTATATACATCTATACATCTACTCCTCATGAAGAACATGCAGAGGGATCAGTGAGACATCTATACATATATATATATATATATATATATATATATATATATATATATATATATATATATATATATATATATATATACATCTACATCCTGACCAGGGAACACAGACAGGTGTTAGCTCTGGTTTTCCACTTCCCGACATTCATGCACGATGACACACTCATGCACTGCTAGCAGTATTTACACACCTCACACACGCACACTGGGATCGACCGGCCACTGATTATTTGTGCTTGTCTTTTATTGTCTGTGAGTTTTAAAGGAGCACAGTGGACAAATACGTGCAAACACACACACACACACACACACACACACACACACACACACACACACACACACACACACACACACACACACACACACAGACACAGACACACACACACACACACACACACACACACACACACACACACACACACACACACACACAGAGGCATAAGACGAGTGAAATAAAAGTACAAATGAAACATTGTGAGGGAAAGGGTAATGATGACATGAACTGAAACGCATCTTCTAATGTCGATGTTTAATGCATTAAAGACCTTTTAGCATTTGTCAGAGGTGTGTTGTCAGAAATGGAGAATAATATTGATATGTTTAGTCCCTTAATCCTTCGTTATTTGTGATGACAGGATTATGTCTACATACGTCCCGGGCTTACAATCCTACAGTAGCCCAGAGCAGACAAACAAGGCTGGCTCTACTTTTTCTATTTTCTCTTGGGCAACACAAGGAATTTCCATTAGTTGCGATGTTAAACCTCCCTGCTAGATGCTGCAAAACCAAACATATTGCACCTTTAAGTACGGAGCCTGCAGAGGTTAAAATAAATATAGCTCCAAATCTCACTAATTAACAATGTGTAATAAACAACAGTTGACGATAATTCATGATTGATAAAGGTTGATCATTTAGAAATAGTTACTCCATTTTTACACATCTGTTTGTGAGTAGATTGAACTAGTGAGATGTATCCTTAGGATTGGTGGTGAACTTTACAGTTGTAAATAAGTAAGACTGTTCAGTGATCTCATCGAGGTGGTTTGTTTCTGAAGCATGATCTCAGTTTTTCATGATGAGCCACAAACGATGTGTGTGTTCCTGCTCTCTTGTTTGTGTTTCTATCGATAACCTCGATAAACACATTCCGGGTAATTTCTCTTCTCAGGTGTTGACATCTCTGCTCATCTTATTACGTCTGTCCTTTATTCTTTTCCCACCAGCATCAGTCACGACCAGACGTTCAGGCTGACAGGAAGAAGGTCCGGTGCTGAGGGCAGTATTGATGCAAGGACGCTTGAGTGTGTGTGTGTGTGTATTGATGCAGAGGGACACAGGTGTGAGACAGCCATCTGTTCTTCGGTCTTAAGCAGAGTAAACCACATTTCTTTCGGAGAATATTGCCCACGTTCTCTTTTGGCTCACTGACCTGTGCTTGAAAAGTAGCTGTGTTGTCAGGTTAGGTGACGTGAAGTCACGTTGATTTAAAGTCTAGTCAAGTGGGAAGTCAACTCATTGCATTTAAATGATAACATGCCTTTAGTAGTGAGTGTAAGCGAAGTAACACCTGCATCTGTGGCAAACATCTTTATAGCACATTTTTTTTGCCATCAACAGCTTGTATTCACAATGTCTGATTTGCATAACTGCACCAGTTTAATACACAAAAGGGACTTGTGTTCCACACATTTGCCTTCAGGGCTCGAGAATGCATCCTGCATACATCACAAGTCTGCAGACTGGGCGCTGGAACGTTGCTCATGGGCCCCCACATGACTCCACCAAAATGTTTTTGTGTGTCTAGCTCGCAGGAAGAAGGTTGGGAACGCACAAACAGGATACAATGGTATTTTGTAGTTCATCGTGTCAAAGTCTTGCTTGGCCTGATCTGTAGCAGTACAAGTGGAGTACCAGCCTGCCCTGCATACCTCAACGTAGATAAAATGAATGCACACACATACACACAGATACAGACACACAAACTCACACATGGATACACATCCACAGATGCACCCTGAAGCGCATTAGAAAAGCTCCAAAGGTTAGCAGTCAGGAGTGAGTTGTGGGCATATACTCTATGGGCTGTTGGTGTGAGTAGTCAGTTGATGGGTTTTGTGTATCTTGTGAGTGATTATAGACGCGGGGAAGAAAAATGAATATCACAATATGCTGCCTTTAATCACAGTGAACCGATATGAAGGATAAGACCTCCATTCAACCAGAGAGGGCCTTCAAAGGAGCGGATTACATAGATAAGATACATATGTGATGAAAGCAATATAAAGCAAAGCAATCATTTGGCTGGTAAATTAAATTCTGTAGTTGGCAATATTTATATAACAAGAAAGCCTCCCTACAGATACCAATATTTGAGGCATCGCTTTAATTGGATTTTATCTATTTGAGTGTAAGGCACTAAAATATCTCCGAGCCTCTCATCAGAGGAGATTAACACAATGTACCCTGATGTCTTCCTGATATTGTAAAGCTATAATTTTAAATAAACTGTCAAGATTTGGAAGGGTGAAAGCATAACACATGAATCCTCTTCTGTTCATAATAAACAGCATCATGGTTTGAGTGGTGGTCAGCACTGCCGCCTCACAGCAAGAAAGTCCTGGGTTCGACTCCGCCCAGTGGAGTCTGCATGTTCTCCCCGTGTCTGCTCGGGTTCTCTCCGGGTTCTCCGGCTTCCTCCCACAGTCCAAAGACATGCTCTGGGGATCAGGTTGATTGGTGACTCTAAAATGCCCGTAGGTGTGTGGATGTGAGTGTGAATGGTTGTATGGCTGCGGACCAATCCAGGGTGTACCCCGAAGTTGGCTGGGATTGACTCCTTACCTCCCCTCCCGCGACCCTGTGTGCAGGATACGTGGTTTGAAGATGGATGGATGGTTTGAATCAATCTTTTGGAAAAAAGGATTATCTGACTTTCACTACCAAAGCACCTAATTTTAGCCGTGAATTACATTTTTCTTAATGTTTCAGGCAAGAGGCGAGAGCACTGCTGCGGAGGGGCTGCATGGCCTGCCCACAGGGATTTTAATAAAAAACAAATGCCGTATCAAGGTGTCAAGACACTTCCCTGCTCATTATAGCACGTGTGGTTTCTCTCTGTGAAATTCCACACACACTGAAGACAAAAGAACACGTGTATTCAAACATGCGGACAGAGGTCACGCTGAGTGTGTGAATGCTGCCGGCAGCCATTATTGTCGTCCCCATCCTCATTGGGCTGGTTAAAGCCGAAGGTGTAACAGCTTTACAAGGTGAAACTGCCCGAAGCCCCAAAAGGATCTCAGGCTGTTTGTGTGGCAATCAGGGTCAATTGTGACAGATGCATCTTCTTGGCCTGGGGCCCCCATCTGCCTTAATCTCACTGAAAGCCTAATACCAAATAGCCAAATGAATGTGTAAAAAAACATTCTGTACGGATCACATCAAGGGCATTTAAAAGGAAATCACGGTCAATACATTGTCTTTATTTTATGGGCACCACAGCGGGGTCTTGAACACGTCTTTACTACCGGAGGAGCGCAATAGACTGGTCGTTGCGTTTTTCTCTCTTGACGAGGATCCCAGAGGTCACTCACGTCAGTTTCAAACTCTTAAAAGCATTTAAAAGTGTCCTTTCGAGCGTTTCTTCCTCTGGCCACGCGCGCCCTCCCGCCGCCGGGGGGCGCTGCGGCTCCTCCGCGCGGAGGCCACAGCGGGGCTGCGGCAGGAAGTCCGTCGCCCTCGAGGGCGGAAACTCGTCGGCATTTGGCGTGCGCGTGCGCGTTTGTTTGGATGGTCCATGTGACACCGAGAAGCAAGAGACACAACCCCCCCTGCCGCTTAAAGTTAACGACTGTGCCGTCATGGGCAAAAAGGACAAGAAGGAGAAAAAGGTGAAGGGGGTGGAGAAGACAGCGGCCAAGATGGAGAAAAAAGTTTCAAAGAGGTCCAAACGAGAGGAGGTAGGTAGACGTGAACGTTAACATGGGCTGAACTATTAACCCCAAATTAATATTTGGTCTATTAATGCGACATCGCCGCTATAATATCTTTGTGCAAATTACCGTTGATATATGGTGTAGTTAGCTTTTAGCAGGTCTGCTCCCTGCGCAGTTTGCCCCCCCTGCTAACTACTGTCCACATTAGTGTCAGGTAATAACAACTGTTGTTTATGAGCACCAGCAGTGTTACTATCAGCAGCATTGGACCTCCAATCCAATGGATGCCTCATATGTTCTCATCGCTTTCCATCCCTCCTCCTCTGTCTCCAGGAGGATTTGGAGGCTCTGATTGCTGAGTTTCAGAATCTGGATGCAACCAAGACCCAAGTTGTAGAGACGACATCGCCGAGGTGACAGACAGCACCACTTACAGTCTTGATTGTAGTCACGTATATTTCCACATTGGCTTAATCCACCAAACATTTATTGTGAGCCCCGATTGATGGATCTCTCCTCTGTTGCTCTCCTTGCTGATGGAATTCAGTTAATGAAATTTATAGATTCTAACCATTAAAACTGTGCCGATCGCAACCAAAAGAAACAATAATAGGGGGTGTGCTAACTGACAAGAAGCTGTAGAAGAGCTTCGTGAGGTTCTCGCTCCTCCCAATATATTTTAGCTTTGAGAGAATGTCTTCGTGGCTGCAGGTCTGTTTTTGATGATTGCCGTGGCGTTATAATGATAGAACGCTGATATTAAGCAGATATACTATTCGTCATCCAGAAGAAAAATGATCCGAGCCCAGTGATTGACTCGCAGACCAAGGTTTATTTTCTTTGTTCATTTGTTCCAGACCAAATCAGCAGATGAATGTCTTTAGTTTAGAGGCGAAAGTATAATACAAATAAAAACAGCGGCTGTTATAAAACCCAGTGGTTTGTTCCATTTGAAGCCACACCGGTCAGGTATAGCGTGTCTGATGTCTTTCTGTGTTTTGGCAGATTGAGCGCTACTCTCTCTGCCCATCCCGAGAAAGAGGAGCTCATCCTGTTCGGAGGAGAATTCTTTAATGGAAGGAAGGTATGGGAAAATTAGATGACCCAACTTAGCGGCTTTTACTAACACTTGAACTTGTGCTTTGTTATTCAACACAGCCTCACCGTCATCCACATTGTGAAAACTGCTTATGAAGCTCATGCGCTTTGATGCACACAGTTTGGTTTATTTATCCCAAAAAAGAAAAAAAGTCAAGACAATGCGGCCTTGTTCCTTGCAGACGTACCTGTACAACGATCTGTTTTTCTACAACATCAAGAAGAACAGCTGGGTTAAATCGGACATCCCCAAACCCCCTCCGCCCCGCTGCTCCCACCAGGTACGAGGATCCCGACCCTCAGCCCCCGTAACATCTCAGCTTAATGTGTCTTATTTGATTATCAACAACATTTTCAGTTACTTCCATGTAAACGAGCCAGGTGACTGGTTGTCCTGTTGTTGGGCTCGTTATGCTCCACTGTGGTTCTCCGTTTATACCACAAGGGGGCAGACGGCTGTAGGGGAAACTCGTCAGCCACTTCATCACTAATTGTTGGAATGCATTAAGCATTCCAAGTATTGTTCTTCGAATCTTTATTTGTTGGAATGCATTAACGATGCATTCCAAGTATTGTTCTTCGAATCTTTATTCTTCAACTTCATCTTCTTCTATTTCTTCCGCGGCACCTTTCAACTCCTTCACACTTTCAGCTATTAAAATCCTTCAAATATTAAAATGTTCAGCTCCTTTCTGGCTTGAGGGCTATGACTTTTCAGCTTTCTACCTCTTAAGCTTGAATTTATATAAATCAATAATCATTAATATTTAAACATGGTTTTCAAATGGAGATTGTTTTCAAATCCTCCTTAAACTTCTTCAACTTTCAGATATTTCAGCTCCGCCAATCGTTCAGCTACAGACACAATTTAAACTTTCAAATGTTGACACAGGTCTCAACTATTTTATGAAAAAAACTGCTTGTGGATATCTATTGTACTTTTTTCATAATCACTGATTATGTTTCACTAGTTCTTCGCTCCGTTTCTGACTTTTACATGAGTGTGTATTGCGTCTGCTAGAGTGGGGACCTCGAGGGCTAGAGTGTGGGGCAGCATCAGAATCTGGTTAAAAAAGTAACTTCTGTCCTTGCAGCCAAAGTATACACTCTAGAGGCTTCATTTCTTCAGATTAATGAGGGTATGGTTGTGCTGATTGGATTAATGTGTTCATGGAATCCCAGAGTTCTTTAGTTTTTGCTTAAGGAGTGTTAGAGTGACACAACCTCTGCCAAAAGCCCCATAGGCTCCAATACAAATCTGCCGACATATTTCTCTAAAAATCCAGAAGGTACACGTTTTGTCAACGGCCATAGGAGCCGTATTTATTACCGGACAGACATAAAACGCACATCCATGCGTTCGGTAGAGTCCTGGGTCTCGTAAAAACGCCGTATTTTTTAGATAGCTGTTATAGTTTTGCGCTGAATGTCATTTGTTTGAGGTGTGGATTCTGTGTAACTCGCTTTCTTCTCTCTGCCTTTTGCAGCAGCTCGTTAATGAGCACAGGTGCGCCGTTGACGTGGTTACTCGCTCACACGCTGCAGGATCTCTGTCTGTGGCTCACAGCTGCTCCTATGACCTGATTAGTGGAGTCTCATGACGCAGCTATGCTTTCTGTCAACAGACCAATATGATAAAGACACTAGCCCCCCCTCCCCCCTCCACCCTGACCTCTTCTCACTGTTAATCAGCCAGTCTGTCTGTCTATTTCTCCTCCTCTCTCTCTCCCTCTATCTCTTCCTCACCACCCCTCCCTTCCTCACCCTCTCACCCTCCCTCCCTCTATCTACACCCCTCCACCCCACCCAATCCAATAATTTCAAAATAAAAGCCCCATGGAGGGAATTTTTACTGTAATGTTTGTGATGAGGCCTATTAATTAAAAACTTGTTAGTTTGAATAACAAACATTCTGTCTCCCACTACGAATATTACTCGTACTTCTAGTACTACAACTGATACTTCTACTACCATACTACTAGTATTTCTACTGCTATTAATACTACAACTACTACTAATGTTATTACAAATACTACTATGGCTAATAGTGTTAGTATTACAGCTGTTTCTACTGCTATTGATACTAAACTGACTTCTACTGCTAGTACTACTAATACCACAATTACAACTATAACTAAGACTACTACTAATACTACTACAAACAATTTTAAACCTCTTTTTATTGTTGGAATGCATTAAGATGCATTCCAAGTATTGTTCTTCGAATCTTTATTTCAACTTATTATTCTTCTTCTATTTCTTCCGTGACACCTTTCAACTCCTTCACACTTTCAGCTATTAAAATCCTTCAAATATTAAAATGTTCAGCTTCTTTCAGGCTTCCGGGCTATGACTTTTCAGCTTTCTACCTCTTAAGCTTGAATTTATATAAATCAATAATCGTTGATATTTTAACATGGTTTTCAAATGGAGTTTGTTTTTCAAATCCTCTTCAACTTCTTCAACTTTCAGATTTTTCAGCTTCGCAAATCTTTCAGCTACAGACACCATTTCAACTCTCAAATGTTCACACAAGTCTCAACTATTTTATGAAAAAACTGCTTCTTGATATCTATTGTACTTTTTTCATAATCACTGATTATGTTTCACTAGTTCTTCGCTCCGTTTCTGACTTTTACATGAGTGTGTATTGCGTCTGCTAGAGTGGGGACCTCGAGGGCTAGAGTGTGGGGCAGCGCGAGAATCTGGTTAAAAAAATATGGAACTTCTGTCCTTGCAGCCAAAGTATACACCCTAGAGGCTTCATTTCTTCAGATTAATGAGGGTATGGTTGTGCTGATTGGATTAATGTGTTCATGGAATCCCAGAGTTCTTTAGTTTTTGCTTAAGGAGTGTTAGAGTGACACAACCTCTGCCAAAAGCCCCATAGGCTCCAATACAAATCTGCCGACATATTTCTCTAAAAATCCAGAAGGTACACGTTTTGTCAACGGCCATAGGAGCCGTATTTATTACCGGACAGACATAAAACGCACATCCATGCGTTCGGTAGAGTCTTGGGTCTCGTAAAAACGCCGTATTTTTTAGATATCTGTTATAGTTTTGCGCTGGTTCTCATTTGTTTGAGGTGTGGATTCTGTGTAACTCGCTGTCCTGTGTCTGCCCTTTTGCAGCCGCACAGGTGCGTCGTTGCCGTGGTTACTCGCTCACACGCTGCAAGATCTGTCTGTGGCTCACAGCTGCTCCTATGACCTGATTAGTGGAGTCACATGACGCAGCTATGCTTTCTGTCAACAGACCAATATGATAAAGACACTAGCCTCCCCCTCCCCCCTCCACCCTGACCTCTTCTCACTGTTAATCACTCTCAGACAGTCAGTCTGTCTATTTCTCCTCCTCTCTCCCTCTCTATCTCTTCCTCACCACCATTCCCTTCCTCACCCTCTCACCCTCCCTCCCTCTATCTACACCCCCCCACCCCACCCAATCCAATAGGTGCGCCGTTGCCGTGGTTACTCGTACACATGCTGCAGGATCTCTGTCTGTGACTCACAGCTGCTCCTATGACCTGATTAGTGGAGTCACATGACGCAGCTATGCTTTCTGTCAACAGACCAATATGATAAAGACACTCGCCCCCCCCTCCCCCCTCCACCCTGACCTCTTCTCACTGTTAATCAATTTCTTCCGCGGCACCTTTCAACTCCTTCACACTTTCAGCTATTAAAAACGTTCAAATATTAAAATATTCAACTCCTTTCCGGCTTTCCTGCTATGACTTTTTAGCTTTCTACCTCTTATGCTTGAATTTATATAAATCAATAATCATCAATAGTTAGACCTATTTCAGAATCTGGTTAAAAAAATATGGAACTTATGTCCTCAGAGCCAAAGTATACACTTTTGAGGCTTCATTTCTTTGGATTAATGATAGCATGGTTGTGCTGATTGGATTAATGTGTTCATGGAATCCCAGACTTCTTTAGTTTTGGATTCCTGAGTATTAGAGTGACACAACCTCTGCCAAAAGCCCCATAGGCTCCAATACAGATCTGACGACATATTTCTCAAAAAATCCAGAAGTTACACGTTTTGTAAACTGCGACAGGAGCCGTATTTATTACTGGACAGACATAACAAACGCATCCATGCGTTCGGTAGAGTCTTGGGTCTCGTAAAAACGTCGTATTTTTTTGGATAGCTGTTATAGTTTTGCACTAGTTGACACTTGTTTGAGGTGTGGATTGTGTGTAACTCGCTGTTCTGTCTTTGCCCTTTGAGCAGGTGCTCCATTACCGTGGATACCAGCACACACGCTGCAGTTTGTCAGTTGGTCAGTTTGTGTCACACAGCTGATCCATAATAGTTGATTAGTGGAGTCACAGAACACAGATATGCTTTCCCCCCCTCATTCTCCCCCTCTCTCTCCCCTCCTCCTCCTCTCTTTTCTGTTCCTCCCCTCTTTATTACTCCTCCACTCTTTCCATTCTTCCCCCTCTCCCTTCCTCACTATTCCATCCTTCCTCCTCCTCCTTTCCCCTCTTTCTTCCTCCCCTTTCTCCCTTCCTCCTCTTTTTCCATTCTTCCCCTCTTTCTTTCTCCCCCTCTCTCTCCCTTCCTCCCTCCCTCTCTTGCCCCCCTCTCCCGTCCTCACCCTCTCTTTCCATTCCTCCCCCTCCCTTCCCTTATCTTTCTTTTTCCCTTCCTCCTCCTCTCTTTCGTTCTCCTCTTTTTTATTCTTCCCCTCTTTCTTCCTCCTCCGCTTTCTTTCTCCCCCTCTCTCTACCTTCCTCCCTCCCTCTTTCCCCCCTCTCCCTTCCTTACCCTTTTTTTATCCTCTTTTCATTCCTGCCCTCTCTCTTCTTCCCTCCTCCTCTCTTTTGTTCTCCTCTTTCCATTCTTCCCATCTTTCTTCCTCCTCCTCTTTCTTCTTCTTCTCTCCTGCCATCCCCCCTCTCCATTTCTCACCGTTCCACACCCTCTCTTTCTCAGTTCCTCCCTCTATCTCCCTTCCTCCACTTCTCTTTCCATTCCTCCCCCTCTCCCTTCCTCACTTTCTCTCCCTTTCTCTCTCTTCCTCCCTCCCTCTCTTTCACCTTTGCTCTCTCTAGTGTGCTCTCTCCTTCTACCTTCCCCAATGCCAACATTTTAAAATATAACCCCTCATGGAGGGAATTTTACTGTAGTGTTTGTGATGAGGTCTATCGATTAATAGTTTGAAGGACAAACATTCTGCCCCCCCACACCCAACAACTACTAATATCACTAGTACAACTAGTAGTGCTACTTGAACTAATACTACTACTACATTACTAATACTACTACTACTAGTATTTCAACTGGTATTTATACTAAATGACTCTTACTACTACTAATAGTAGTTGTACTAAAAATACTATTTCTACCAGTAGCAGTGACCCAACAACTGATATTACTACACTTACTACTATAAGAAAACATACTACCAATATTTATACTGCTATTAATACCACAACTACTACTCATTTTACTACAAATACTACAATGACTAACAGTTTAGTACTACAGATGATAAAACTAGTAGTACTACTAACACTATTTTTCTACTGCTATTGATACTAAAACTACTACTTATTCTAATGCTAATACTATTACTGCCAAAATTACAATTACTACTAATATTACTAGAACAAATAACTGTTTTAAGACTCAACTCAGCTTTTGTCATTTCTGAATTTCCAGCAATATTTTGATATTATTTCTTCTATAGTTGTTTTGTTTCTTTATTTTCAGCAAATCTATGGAAATTCCTTTCCACTTCTCCCATTTCTGTATTTTCAGCAATTTCTAATTTATTTCAGCTTTTCGAATATCTGTAATTTCAGCAAATGTATTAAAATTCCCTTCAACTTTCTGTATTTTCAGCAATTTTCTGAAGTTCATTTCAGCTTTCAGCTTTTTGCATTCCAACGCATTTTCAGCAGGAAATGCATTTTCTAGTTACAAAATAAAAGCCTGAATGATTATCTGTACCTTAACCATGAAGCTCAGAATGAAGCGGTTTCGTTGAAATACGTATTGCTTTCAAATACTACTACAGCCACTACGAATATTACTAGTACTTCTAGTACTACAACTGATACTTCTACCATACTACTAGTATTTCTACTGCTATTAATACTACAACTACTACTAATGTTATTACAAATACTACTATGGCTATTCCAGCTGTTTCTACTGCTATTGATACTAAACCGACTTCTACTGCTAGTACTACTAATACCACAATTACAACTATAACTAATACTAATATTACTACAAACAATTTTAAACCTCTTTTTAGTCATCTCAGCTTTTGTTATTTCTGTATTTTTTTAAATTCATTCAAGCTCCTGCAACTTCTGTATTCTTTAGAAAATCTATTGAAATTCAGCTTTCCCACTTCCTGTATTTTCAGCAGTTCTTTAAAATAATTTCAGCTTTTCTTATGCCTGTATTAACAGCAATGTTTTAATATTGATTTCTGTATTTTTTTGTGTGCAATATTTCACATTCATTTCAGCTGTTTTCATTTCTGCTTTTTCAGCAAATCTATTAAATCCTTTCAACTTCTCCCATTTCTGTATTTTCAGCAATTTCAAATTAATTTCAGCTTTTCCAATATCTGTAATTTCAGCAAATGTATTAAAATTCCCTTAAACTTTCTGTAATTTCAGCAATTTTCTGAAGTTCATTTCAGCTTTCAGCCTTTTGCATTCCAACGCATTTTCAGCAGGAAATGCATTTTCTAGTTTATTTAAGTATTTTTTACTAACAAGTACACACAAGTGCACACTGTGTTTTGAAGGGATTTCAGGTTTTACCCTTTTTTGTTGCTCCGCAGGGCGCCCGGTGGTCCACCGGGTCGCAGCGGCCATCGCATTGTCCTCAGCAAGAAGCAGCTGTTGGTGTTCGGAGGTTTCCATGAGAACACAAGGTGGACGGAATGATAAACGATCCCAGTGTGTCTGTGATGGAGTGGAGGGCGGACCAGTAACATCTTTGATCGAATGTGATACGTTATACATATATATGTATATATTTAAAAAAATTGACTTTCACGTGACTACCAGTCGTAGTATGAAAACGTAACTTTATTTGAAACTATTCATATATTTGGAACTCAAACAGCGTTTGGCTGTCTTTTAGCTCATCGTTTGGCTCTTATTATCTTTGAAAATGTGGATGCACTATTTTGCTATTTTATCATAAGACGTCACAAAATTGTTACCTGACCAATATTAAATCGACTTGATCTTGGACTTTTTGTGATTTTGAGCTCGTTCTGATCAACCGACAGTCCTAAAGCCTTTAAATGTATTCAAGATGTGGTTTTATCTAACTCCGCCCCCCTCCGCCCTCCAGGGATTTCATCTACTACAATGACGAACTTTGTTCCCACGTTTCTCTGGAAGACAACACTGTTACACCATTTATAATAAACATGATCTTTTCGGTTTCAGGACAACTTCAACAATTGGTTTTTCAAAGTGAAGATGTAACTGAAAATCAGATTTTCATCAATACTAAATTCGCCCAAAATGTTTGAAAATAATCCAAAACATCCACACATTTATCTATCAGGGGTAATTCAAGCCAACCCACGTGTGTTAGAAACACACTAATTAACAGGTAAGATGCCATTTTACTTTAATTATAATAATAATAAAGCACAGAAAAAGAAGCCCAAAGCAGTGAAGCTTGAATGAAACCATGACGCTGTATTTCTGTCCCTGACTCCTATTTTCCATCTTTCCAGCCAAGTAGTCAAGTTCTATTACGAGACAGCTGGTTTGTAGTGTCGATACGCTGGTTTGACGAGCCCCTAGCAACGACGCGTGCCGCTTGTTTTACTCCTCCATCACAAAAAAAGGGGGAGGAACAGGAAGAGAGAGCCAGGTGAGCTGAGGAGATGGAGCGAGCGGGTGAAGATGAGAGGGCGGCAGCAGGGGAGGAAAAAGGAGATAGGCAATGCGGGGAAGGAGGAGGGGGACGACGCGTTGCCGGGGAAGACATCAGTCACTGTTGCGCGCATCACCCTATCCCCCTGACCTATTTTAACCTCCATCAGCAGTTTGAGCGAGGGATGAGAGGAGGCTGATGAATAATAGAAGAGAGGGAGAGATGGATGCGAAGGAGTCTGCCTCCCTCCCTCTGGTTCTCTCTCCCTCCTTCATCCCCCCTCCCCTTTTCCCTCCTTACCCTTTTTTATTCTAACTCTGGGACAAGAAAAGATTTTATAAATAACTAAAGAGGGGAGCGTTTTTGGGGTGCGTTTCGCAATCGTCAGAGATACGTCAGTCGTTAGTCGAGAGAAATCTTGGATGTGGAGGATGTTTCCAGCTTGTCTTAACTCAGTCAGGCTGGGTATTGATTAAATGTGTAAAACTGCAGCCCCTCTGGCTACTGGGACATCTTGGATAAGATTTCATACACATTTTTTCTTTCTGCTTGTTGGTTCAGTCATTGTGATCTCACAGGGTTCCATTCCGAGGCTTACAGCGCATTATACTCGACTGGTTAAACGGAAAGAAACATTTGAACTAACGTTTAGCAATATCATTGTTTGATCTGGGTTTTTTTTTTTCAATTGTACCCTATTAGCTGCCAGATTGTCCATAATTCACACTGAAATGATCACACAGATGAATGCAACCATTGGAGCCTGAGGAACACACATGCTGCTGTAAATCATAAACTTTGATTTCACAAGTATTCATAAAAGGATCTTTAACTGCAACTGTACATTTCATTTTCTGCTGTCGATGAGTCCTTCACCCTGCCGTTTCTTTTCCGACATCAGGAGGAAAGGCTACTGTGGCAAACTACATTTTGCAACTGAATGAGAGAGACAATTAAACAGGTACAATTGCAGCATTATAGAAAACAAAACACTTCTTCACAGCATCCTTTTATTTTTGTCACCCTCACACCCAATTCGGTACACTACATTATTCTGTATAATATTACAAAATATATAGGCAGATGTTTCATGTCCCCATTGTTTTAAATAGCCAGCATGGAAACCAGAAGCTTCCTGGTGTGCCGGCCTGGAAGCTTCGGCTGTGCGCTGATTGGCCGAATTGTATGTGACTCATTTACTCTTTAATCAGCAATTGGGCCATTTCTACATTTTCCTATTTTAACAAATGTTACTGGTTGAGTTCCATATTATACACCAATATCAACAATTTGTATATTGACTATTTATTTTTCAGCCCAAGGAGGGGGCTGAAGTTGAGCTGGGTCAGCCACCACTGGTGTTGGTTTTTGACATAACAAGTTAAAAGTTCCTCCCAGTAAGCTTTAGTTGCTGGTCTAGTTTTGAAAAAGTAAATGTTGACAATTGGTTTAATAGAGGAAACAAACCGCGGCCTCCTGGCTGATTGTCCTGTATTTGTTTGACCCACCTCCCTACGGGGAATTCTGTGCACTATGAAAAGGAATACATTTGTGATATGTCGAAAACAAAGACCAGAACGCATTTCCCTCGAATCGTTGTAACATTGTAACATTCTGTGGTATGTAAATAACTCTGTGACCTTGATTTCAACTCTATTTGCCTCATGGGTCATTTTGACCCGAAGACCACCTTTGTACCTTTTTTTGTACAGTTTACATGGAAATGTGAATAAAAGAAACATTTCACTTTTTCTACTGTTGGGGCCAATTTAGGAAAAAGTTTAAAAAATATTGTTTAGGGGATTTTTTTTTTTTTTAACATAGTGGCGGGTCATTTTGACCCGAGGACAACAAAAGGATTAAATCCTTATCCCTCCGTTGTGGTCAGGAAGTCACAGTAACTGCCCATCGTTACTTCCGTCCTCTCTCACCCTGTTTCCTTCTCTCTCTCTCTCTCCTCCCACCTCCCTCCCTCACCTCTGCTATCAGTGTTTAGAGGGCTAAACCTTAATCCTCGGCCTTTAAGTGATTTTAGGCTGAGAGGGACGTTTAAGAGGGGGGGAGGATAAGAGGACAGTCGGGGAGGTAGCAGGGGACAGGGGACAGACAGGGGGTTGATTCTTAAGTAATTTTAGTCCCATTTGTATAATCTGTCATTTCCTTTCTGTCCACATTGATCACAAAAATCACAGCACTTCAAAAACGAGTCAAGTAAACCAAACTATGAGTACCAACAAAAGAAAAAAAGGAAAAATTTCCTTTTGCCGCAATATGTCGATGCCATCTGGAAATACGCAGTATTTCTTAACGCATCCCCTGCTTCTCTTTTTGCCGACATCGACAGCTGAAACGAAGCACAACTTTGAAACGAAGGCGTCCAACTGAAATGAAAAGTAAAGGTTTATGCCGTTGACTTGTAGCGCGCAAGGAGTTTGAACTGTAAGGGTCGACATATTGGGAGAGAGTCTAAGTAGCAAACAGTGAAGCAGCTTCTTGTGTGCCTGACCTGAAGGTTTGCCTATTAATGCTTGGGTAGGTTATGTTGTTATTTGTTGGAAAAAAGATGAGCGATAATCTGGGTTCTTTGGCTATCGAACCATTTTAGTCCCACAGTAAAGATTGTAGAAATTAGTTCATAGTGTCAATCCCTAGTTTCAAGTCTTCAATACAGAATGGTGTTCATTTGGTGAATTGTTGTCCCCTTTAGAGCCTATGAGTTTGCTTTAGTGCATGGCTACTTTGTGATCAACAGGATGCCACCTTTGAGTCTTCCAGTCGGAGAGTTGCAAGCAGAAACACCTTCACGGTGTGTTTTCAATTCATCAAAGTTAACTGTAAACTGTTTAGTTACCTAAAATGTGGTGTGTATTTAGCTCCATCTACTTGTAACTTCTGGTTACCAAGAGCCAACATGGCGACTGACAAAATGCCAAACTCAAAGCTTCACAATGGTGGTCTACAAACCAATGATGACTATGTCAACTTCTTGTTGAGGTGTGTAGACAGCCCTAGCATTAAGTATGCCTTCCTGCATAGTTGTTGGACTGAGAATCCGTCTACAACTATGTTTAATATGGCCACAATGCATCCCTGACTGCCTGCGGTTCCGGTTTGCCAACTGGGACACAGTCTGTCCCCGGGGCTTCTAGGCTTGCCTTTGTACCATTTACTGTACTTTTACGTGGTCAGGCAATATCCGATTACAATCAGATGCCCCGAAGCATTTGAACTAAAGGTATAAAATGAATCTGAGGCTGACCGCTCCATACAACCAACCAAACTAAATACCTTTTAGGGGAAACCAAAGCTTTTACTTTCATTAGGAAAATTATAATTAGCTGTTACCCAAGAATTTGCAAAAGCAAAAATACACAATATGCTTTGTGCCTTGTGTAGTGTAACAGGAATACTGTTTCTTGAAAGAGATGTTGCTGTAGAAAATGAACATACTTAAAGCACAAAAACTTGGGAACATCAAGCCCAAACCATGTGCAGCCACATTGCCTTGTTCTGCTCCAGACATGTTTTATTCATCCTACCAGAACAGAGGCACTTTCTTTAAATCAATACTCTCTGCCCACAACTGTTTGGTCGTCTACAACCCCAAAGCATCATCTATCCGAAAACAATGACAGGGAGACGGCATTTGTCCTCCTGGGCCTCCATCTTTCATGCTATGCCTTTTGTATTTTTAAAAACAAAGTTCTTGCTCGGAGTGCTAACATGGCTAGCATGACATGGCTTATATATCTGAGGGTTAAAGAGGACATGGATTGATCTCAAATACTTGAGAGAAATCGGAGATAATGCAAGGTGAATTGCAGTTGCATCGCTGGACAATTTCGCCTTACCTTGTCCTTGAGGGGCGTGGAGTACAAAGTGATGTCACAGATTTTGTTGGAGGATTTGTCTCTGAAAACCAGGTCAGAATTATTTCATTCTGTCTGGAAAATGACTGGCCCTGCTTTTGCAATTGACCCTCCAGATGAAATTGATAGTACAATGAAACTAGAGGCCACCACGCAAATATAAATGAACAAATTGGTGTGCGGGGTATGGATTGAGGTAGTCCAATGATCCCTTCTTCCCTTCCAACCCTCTATTTTAGATCCCCTTGCTCAGACCAGAACCCTCTTTGTGCTCAACCTTCCTTTTTGCACATCTGTATCGTGACCGCATCTTGCACAGCTGCATCATTTTTGTAGGGACTAAATCTGTCCACAAATTTTAGAAACACTCAGGACTCCCAAACAAACTCACTTGTTGAGAACAGTACCTGCGTCAAGATTGCGACCAGTATAGTTAATGGTTACGTTGCTCTTTTAAAGGTATACTTCAACAATTTAGAAATACCCCTGGGCTCAAGAGTTAGATGACAAGGCAGGAGTCAATGGGCTGTCATAGCATTGATATTGGAAGTTGAGTTTGTTCAAAGGGCAGAATAAAGAAATCTCTACCAGCACCTTTAGTTCTTTGGGTGCCAGGTTAAGCTAACCAACTGGTAGCTGTGCCTTGATATTTGTGTTGTCAGTCTTCTATATTGATTTGCAAGTGACTGAATAGTTACATTACATTACATTACATGTCATTTAGCTGACGCTTTTATCCAAAGCGACGTACAATAAGTGCATTCAACCATAGGGTACAAACTCAGGAGAACAAGAAACAAGAAAGTGCAATTTCCTCATATAAGCCAATTTACAATTTGCTATAGATGAGTGACGTTACAAGTACAATTTAAGTGCTATAATTTGTTAGTCTTTAGTCGAGGTTGAGTCTGAAGAGGCGTGTCTTTAGTTTGCGGAGGAAGATGTGAAGGCTCTCTGCGGTCCTGGTGTCTTCAGAGAGCTCGTTCCACCATTTCGGCACAAGGACAGCACAGAGTCGTGATCTAGTCGAGTGTTTTGCTCTCAGTAAGGGAGGAACGAGTAGTTTTGCAGATGCAGAGCGGAGAGTGCGGGTTGGGATGTAGGGTTTGACCATGTCCTGGATGTAAGCTGGACCCGATCCATTCACAGCATGGTACGTGAGCACCAATGTTTTGAACTGGATGCGGGCAGCCACCAGTAGCCAGTGAAGAGAGCGGAGGAGTGGAGTAGTGTGGGAGAATTTCGGAAGGTTGAAGACCAGTCGAGCTGCTGCATTCTGAATGAGCTGCAGAAGTCGAATGGCGGTGGCACGGAGACCTGCCAGGAGGGAGTTGCAGTAGTCCAGGCGGGAGATGACAAGAGCCTGAATCAGTACCTGCGCTGCCTTCTGAGTGAGAAGGGGACGTATTCTCCTGATGTTGTAGAGCGTGTATCTACAGGATCGCGTTGTCGCGATGATGTTGGGAGTCAGGGAGAGTTGGCTGTCGAGTGTGACGCCGAGGTTCTTAGCAGTCAAAGTGGGCGTTAGTACGGAGTTCCCAAAGTTGACTGTCAGGTCCTGGGTAAGCGAATCTTTTCCGGGAAAGAGAAGTAGTTCAGTCTTGTCGGGGTTGATTTTCAGATGGTGGGCGGACATCCACTGAGAGATGTCAGTTAGACAGGCGGATATCCGAGCCGCCACCTGGGTGTCCGAGTGAGGGAAGGAGAGAATTAGTTGGGTGTCATCGGCATAGCTGTGGTAAGAGAAGCCATGCGAGCGAATGACAGCGCCATGAGAGTTGGTGTAAAGCGAAAACAGGAGGGGACCCAGCACGGAACCCTGAGGAACTCCAGTAGTAAGAGGACAAGGTTCCGACACAGATCCTCGCCAGGTTACCCGGTAAGTGCGGCCGTCGAGGTAGGACGAGAGAAGGAAGAGAGCAGAGCCTGTGACACCAAGTTCCTGAAGGGAGGAAATAAGGATCTGGTGGTTGACCGTGTCAAATGCAGCAGAGAGGTCCAGAAGGATGAGGACAGAGGAGAGAGAGGCGGCTCTAGCAGTGTGGTTCAGAGAAGAAGGAGGCAAGAGTCAACCCTCTCCTGAAGAAACCCACCCTCAACCCTTCTGAAGAAAACAACTACAGACCGGTCTCTCTTCTTCCCTTTTTGTCCAAAACCCTTGAACGTGCTATCTTTAATCAACTCTCCTCTTATCTCCACTGTAACAACCTCCTTGACCCCCACCTGTCAGGTTTCAAGGCAGGCCACTCCACAGAGACTGCTCTCCTTGCTGTCTCAGAGCAGCTCCACACTGCTAGAGCCGCCTCTCTCTCCTCTGTCCTCATCCTTCTGGACCTCTCGCACCTACCGGGTAACCTGGCGAGGATCTGTGTCGGAACCTTGTCCTCTTACTACTGGAGTTCCTCAGGGTTCCGTGCTGGGTCCCCTCCTGTTCTCGCTTTACACCAACTCTCTTGGCGCTGTCATTCGCTCGCATGGCTTCTCTTACCACAGCTATGCCGATGACACCCAACTAATTCTCTCCTTCCCTCACTCGGACACCCAGGTGGCGGCTCGGATCTCTGCCTGTCTAACTGACATCTCTCAGTGGATGTCCGCCCACCATCTGAAAATCAACCCCGACAAGACTGAACTACTTCTCTTTCCCGGAAAAGATTTGCCTACCCAGGACCTGACAGTGAACTTTAGAAACTCCGTGCTAACGCCCACTTTGACCGCTAAGAACCTCGGCGTCACACTCGACAGCCAACTCTTGACTCCCAACATCACTGCGACAACGCGATCCTGTAGATACACGCTCTACAACATCAGGAGAATACGTCCCCTTCTCACTCAGAAGGCAGCGCAGGTACTGATTCAGGCTCTTGTCATCTCCCGCCTGGACTACTCCAACTCCCTCCTGGCTGGTCTCCCTGCCACCGCCATTCGACCTCTGCAGCTCATTCAGAATGCAGCAGCTCGACTGGTCTTCAACCTTCCGAAATTCTCCCACACTACTCCACTCCTCCGCTCTCTTCACTGGCTACTGGTGGCTGCCCGCATCCAGTTCAAAACATTGGTGCTCACGTACCATGCTGTGAATGGATCGGGTCCAGCTTACATCCAGGACATGGTCAAACCCTACATCCCAACCCGCACTCTCCGCTCTGCATCTGCAAAACTGCTCGTTCCTCCCTCACTGAGAGCAAAACACTCGACTAGATCACGACTCTTTGCTGTCCTTGCGCCGAAATGGTGGAACGAGCTCTCTGAAGACACCAGGACCGCAGAGAGCCTTCACATCTTCCGCCGCAAACTAAAGACACACCTCTTCAGACTCTACCTCGACTAAAGACTAACAAATTATAGCACTTAAATTGTACTTTTAACGCCACTCATCTGTAGCAAATTGTAAATTGGCTTATTTGAGGAAATTGCACTTTCTTGTTTCTTGTTCTCCTGAGTTTGTACCCCATGGTTGAATGCACTTATTTTACGTCACTTTGGATAAAAGCGTCCGCTAAATGACATGTAATGTAATGTAATGATTCACATTTGGGTGCAATGACATACAGTATGTATACAACAAGATCTAATTTTTAAAGATATTTTATGCATACACACAAAATAAAGAAAGGTTGAATCGGTTGGACTATATTTCCAAAATGAATATATTTTTGTGCACTTGTCTCAAAAGAAACCTCAGTGATGTTTCCTGTTAGTTTATTTTGGGATTGAAGAAGTTGAGTGGAAGTAAATTTTCTATAGTACTTTAAAATGTTTGTCAATTTAATAATTTTCCAGGATTGAGCGGCTGTGGAGAGACTTGTGGGTAGCTGTAACAAGCGTCTAGTACGATGTTCTCCACTACCTTGAAGAAGAGGGCTTCCTCAGCATCGACACCGCTACACACCTCTTCTGCTGCCACCTTGTGTTCCTCCCACGCCTGCAGGATGACCTCAATACTTTTCGCAGTGGTTGGGACAATCATTCGATAAGAACTGAGAGCCAGATGACCCCTAACCAGTTGTGGGTGCACATCACCCAATTCCTGGGCCAGATAACACAGAGGTATGTGCAAAGTATAATGTGATTTTAATAAGTAATGTGGTTCACATGTGTAAGCAATGAAATTAGCCAAATTTGAAAATGTGCCTACTGTTTATCCAGATAATACTGCATAAAATTCAAAATTGTTCTGTTGTAGGATATGGACATTCCAGAAATCGAGTGGGAAAACAGTGGACTTCCCCATGATGACCACTCAAGCATCATTGTCCCAGATGCAGATTGCCCACTGACTGATGAACAAATGACATCTTTAGGAGATGCAGTTAACCCAAGAGCTGCATCCCAGTCCTTTGGCTGTGATATTTACGTTGCTACTGTTCAGTTCTGTGAGCAATTTCTTTCTCTGTAAAATAACTGAATTGAGAGTTGCACAGAGACATAAACCCACACTCAAATAAACCAAATGGATGTTGTCAAAGCTTTGATGTGAACACTGATTTAGAGAAGAAACCCTTAATGGCTGGGCTTCACTAGCCACTAAAGACTGAGTCAGCAAGAGAAAGAGAATTACCTCTGCAACCGTACCTCCACAAATCAAAGAAAAAGAAATCAAAGTAATATCTTGTAATATATTGTATCCTGTGTTAATTGACACAAGATACATGTAGCACATACTGTACCTGCTGAACCCTCCCCCAATCCACCACATAAGCAAATCCAACACAAGCAGTTTTCATTTTTGTGCTGTAAGGAAACGAGGAGTTTTGAGCTGTTAAAAAGGAAACAAGATACAAAAGATTCAGAATGACTTAGCTATAGTATTAAGCTCTAAACTATTTTAGACTCTCAAAAGGTATTTGAATTGTCACATTTCATTTCATCCTAGATATTTTATGCTGTTATTTGTTGCTTGTACACCAGAGTTTTATGTGAATGCTGAAAATTGAAATTTATTTTGTAATACAGCTGAAGAAGATTTCAAGTCTTTGCAGTAACAGTGAAACCAGTACAGTCATGTCCACATAACTCCTATAATTAATTATTTAATTATTTATTTCAGTGCAGAGATTGTTTACAGTGAACATCCATATTTGTTGCATAACAGTCAACATTTTGAACAGCCAACAAACAAAGTTAGATCAACATTTAGTACAAGATCAAATCTAGTCTCTCACACCAGGCCAAATCCTGTTTGGCAAGAGCAAATACAGGCCTGAATATCACTTTGAAAAGATTGATAATCATTGTAATGTCCTGGGATGCTCAACATCTCAAACAGGTGGAGGCTGTGGGGTATCTGCCCATGACCACCTCTACGGAGGGGCTCGTTGGGAGAATCTCCCACCCGGTCCAGAATTTGACCAGATTGGTCAATTCAGTTGGTGTTGCTATGGAGGAGATAAAAAAACAATGAAACAAATCAAATGACCAAAAAAATCTAATTTGACTTTACTATCATCAGGATAAATAGCAGAGTCTGGCACTAACAGCTTACACTCAATGGAAGAGAAGAGCAACCCGCAATGTGAAGTTAATGTTGAACATTTAAACAGCCAAGTAGCCAAATTATATTCTAATAGCACTTTCAAATGTATTTTGTAAACCTACCATTCACAATGAACTGTCGAAGATAGCCTGTCATGCAGCATCTGGTGTCAACTGAATAGTCGTCGTCATCATCTTCATTCTCACGGATGTGATTCGCTGAAGAAGTACCTGCATTGAAAATAACATGGGAGAGCATTGAATCATTTTTCTATTAAGGGTTACCACACATTTGTCCCAGTGAATTTTCAAAACTTTTCCATGAAATTTAAATAATTATGACTCATTTTTTACTTTTCCATGAGTTCCATCATTGTATCACTTTTGTAGGACCTTGATGATACATTACTAGTCAGTACTTTTGGAAAGGTCGACGATGTATGAACACATAAATAACAAGAACAATATTGAACATGGACTATAATAGATGCTGACGAGGTATGAACTGTAATTATTAGTAATTGACAATGACATAGTAAGAAAAAATACAAACATTACAAGATCAGAAAAATAAAAATTTACCTCAGGGCTGATATTCCCAGCTCCCTCTTTTGGGAGAAGCAAGGCCCCCGTGTCAGGTCGTTGGGTCAGCACTGTCCACATTGGGGTTTCTTTAAGACCTCGTCGAAACTGTTTTATTTGTCTTGTGACACGGCCAATCACCTGTTAATAGTAACATGGCAAAGGGTATATCCAATAACATTACTCGTCTTAAAGCAATCTCAGCGTAAAAGATTAGAAAAAGATTATTTTCAAGAAAATAATAACATTTAAATAAATTTGTTATGTTTATATCCACTAGTGATTGGAGTTATATGATACTGTCCTTCTGCTTACTGATAAACCCCATTTGCATTTATTACTGACCATCCACTAACTTTAAGGTTTCCAGGAAAATAATTTGTCATCATTTGACATCATCAACCATGTTTCCTCCACTCAGATGACAAAAACACACAAACTTGTAACTTTTGAAAGCAAACATTTCTTAAACTTTCACTCACAGCATGGATTAGAAGCTTCTCAAAAATCCATCTCCTGTTCTTCTCAGTAAGGGATGGGAGGTCCCAGGCATAGGCCAATTCCTGGACACTCCCTGCATCCCTCTCTGACAGTGTGGATTCCCCTTCAAGCTTTAAGACAAGAGGCAGTTGAGTAATGCCAGGTGCTATGTGCACTTATAAAAAGTACTGAATATAACACATTATACATATTACTGGGATTTAAGCTTTTATACAATCAAGATAATAGAATCAACTTTAATTACACATACAAGCCTGATTGTTTCTCTTATGTCCAGGTCTGGACAATCCTCCAGTGTAATTGTGGCAGTTTCAGGACTACCACCAAGTAGAACATGGACAATAGCAGGGCTGAGTCCAGACAGGCATGGTCCTCCATGAAGGAAAGAGTGGCCTACCATTCTCCCAGCCACCATGAACATGTCACTTTCAACCAGAAAATGAGAGGCTGAGGGGACCAAATGTCCAGGCTCTCCTTCAAAAAGCTGTGTAACATTGGTGTTTGCTGTTGAAGACATTAATAACATTAAATAACAATAACGTGGTTTGTATAATCTGTGATGGACTGGAGACTCCAGTTCTCTACGGTACAGGCATTAAACATTTGGTAGAATCCTTTGAACTTTCAGGATACAGCAAACCAACTAAGATGATACAGTTGTATAGTTGTTATTTAAAAGAATCTTGACTATAATGGTGGAAATCTTTAATATACTTAAAGTAAACATTAAACAACAAACAACATTAACAAGGATGCCATACATCTAACATACATACCAAAACTGATGCAAAATCCAGCCTTCAGCTTTTCCATGCATGTTGAGAAGAAAAAGCGAGTTACACCCTGGCCAACAGCAGTATCTCCTGTAACACAAGTTATGGTTTGACAGAATACATTTCAAAGAAATACTTGAAATATTTTTTTGACAACTGAAAATTGATATTGGAGCAACCTTCAAGTCTGCAATTCAGGGGTCGTCCCCATTCCACATTAAGTTTCTTGTAAAAGGAGATAAGGGCCATGTCCTGTTCAGCCAGACTTCTTCTTATGTCCATGCTGAGAAGTAAGGGACTCTCCATTTTATGAATACAGAGACAGTTGTCTACACACTGAGATATGGCCTTGGAAGGGTCACTGACAGTTAACCACTCTTATAAGAAAAAATAAAAATGAATGTGGTTGTTTCATTATTTATGCTTGACTGTAAAGATAGCAAAAAAATAATAAATAAAAAGTAGATTCAAATAAAAAGTAAAATACATTAGGCCCTACTTTGGCATAAACAGTCTAATAGTAGCAACATAAATGTACAAATACATTAATTAATATGTGAGTAAATAATGGTGTGCTATGAAGATTTTGCTAAGACTGCTTTTTCTGTAAACAATTCCCACCCAGAGCAGGCCATACTACATGCTCATTTTTATTGCACTGTAACAATGTTACCTTCTTTAACTGTACTATGTCACTGATGACCCTAAGCATTATCACCTACCATCTCTATCTGCTGCACAAGTTCCAGATGGTCCAGGTATTGCTGTTTGCTCTTCCTCACTGACAGTACTTTCATGCCTCACTTGATTTCCTGCTCTAGCCACATAAAGCTCTTTTTGTGTTACACTTGCACAAAGAGTAAGACAATTGCCATTAAGAGAAAAAACATGAAAAGATAAATGGATACCTTTCCCCGCAGGCTGAAGAGTGTACCTCAATAAAATCAGTGGCAAAGATTTGTGCGCAGACAGGACACTCCAGCATATCTGCTGCTGAGAAATGGAAGTTACAAGAAAGAACAATGATATTTTGAAAGAAAAGGTTTCTTAATTCATTTTATGAATGCTATGTAATATGTGTGAGATGCATGTACTGGTAAAATATATTATAACATTGTTTTGTGCTAAAGCTGTGTCTCAAGTGTCCTGTATTTGACCCTGATGTGCAAAGAGCAGCATGATACAAAATGTTGCTTTGCAGCTGTGTCCTGCGAAGGGAGGGCGGTCGACTTGATCTCATAGACGCTTCAAAACAAAGGACTTCTGTTCATGTCCTTGGTTTATATCTTATTCGGTACGAAAGTTCCGGATCCACTTTTTTTATTTATGTCAATTAATTATGATTTGCACCGGCCACTGAGGAGGATCTTGTGTGTGTGTGCTACCCTCAGCTTCACCTGGGTTCTTATCTCAACCTGCTTTGCAGCTTCTCGTAGCTGGCACAGAGAATGTCCTTCACATGTATAAAAACTCAGTATTTTTACTGCTCGGAGACGCCATTACACCGAGCGCTGATACGTGCTAGTGTGTTAGACCTCCTGCTTGCAAGCAATAGTTAGAGCCAGATATCTGCAGAGAATTGCTCATGTAATCTTTTTCTCTTCTAAATAAATGTTAACTTTTTGACTTTAATTGATCAACGTGCTGCGGTTCTTGTCATCAACCAACTCGGGGGGGATTGAAGATCCTGACATAATCAAAATCAAACAAAATCTTAAACAAATACTTTTGACATTTTCTCTCTTCAGGCTCACCGCTATCCACATTAGTCAGGTTATCGTCAACATCAATTACATCACAAGACTAGATGTGTTCTGTCAGGAGTGGAAGGGGAACTGCTGCTCCACACTTCTGACAAATGGCTTTTGGCATGCTCCTGAATGCTTCATGATTGAGTGGTAGGGGATTTGTGTTAAGTTCTTCTTGAATTCTTCTGGCTTCTTGAACAGATTTTTAGCGCAACGACCTATAGCCTTCAAGACCCTGCCTGAATAGCCACTATCTTCAGGAGGCACAACACAGAGTTTTCGGCTTCCCCATCCAGCTGTGGAAAACATTGCAGATGGAAATTAGATTGGAAACTTTCAACAGTGTATTGGATATATAATATATATTTAATTTAAGTCAAAGTAACTAGGCTTTTTGTGTGACTACAGTATAAACTGAAGAAGCCACCTGTCTAGTTTACTTGACTGTTTCAAATACAGTTATTACAAGTTAACACTTTGTAGTTTTGTTTTTGTCTTGCAGTAAGACTCCTAATAAATGTTTTCCCTTGAATTCAACATAGACAGTCTTAATAACAAATGTACTTGATATGAGTTAAGATAATTTTGTTAAAGTTTTATTTGGGAACCATCTGTAATTACACTTTTATCCAAAGCGACGTACAATAAGTGCATTCAACCATAGGGTACAAACTCAGGAGAACAAGAAACAAGAAAGTGCAATTTCCTCAAATAAGCCAATTTACAATTTGCTATAGATGAGTGACGTTACAAGTACAATTTAAGTGCTATAATTTGTTAGTCTTTAGTCGAGGTAGAGTCTGAAGAGGTGTGTCTTTAGTTTGCGGAGGAAGATGTGAAGGCTCTCTGCGGTCCTGGTGTCTTCAGAGAGCTCGCAAGGACATTTCGGCGCAAGGACAGCAAAGAGTCGTGATCTAGTCGAGTGTTTTGCTCTCAGTGAGGGAGGAACGAGTAGTTTTGCAGATGCAGAGCGGAGAGTGCGGGTTGGGATGTAGGGTTTGACCATGTCCTGGATGTAAGCTGGACCCGATCCATTCACAGTATGGTACGTGAGCACCAATGTTTTGAACTGGATGCGGGCAGCCACCAGTAGCCAGTGAAGAGAGCGGAAGAGTGGAGTAGTGTGGGAGAATTTCGGAAGGTTGAAGACCAGTCGAGCTGCTGCATTCTGAATGAGCTGCAGAGGTCGAATGGCGGTGGCAGGGAGACCAGCCAGGAGGGAGTTGGAGTAGTCCAGGCGGGAGATGACAAGAGCCTGAATCAGTACCTGCGCTGCCTTCTGAGTGAGAAGGGGACGTATTCTCCTGATGTTGTAGAGCGTGTATCTACAGGATCGCGTTGTCGCAGTGATGTTGGGAGTCAGGGAGAGTTGGCTGTCCAGTGTGACGCTGAGGTTCATAGCGGTCAAAGTGGGCGTTAGCACGGAGTTTCCAAAGTTGACTGTCGGGTCCTGGGTAAGCCAATCTTTTCCGGGAAAGAGAAGTAGTTCAGTCTTGTCGGGGATGATTTTCAGATGGTGGGAAGACATCCACTGAGAGATGTCAGTTAGACAGGCAGAGATCTGAGCCGCCACCTGGGTGTCCGAGTGAGGGAAGGAGAGAATTAGTTGGGTGTCATCGGCATATCTGTGGTAAGAGAAGCCATGTGAGCGAATGACAGCGCCAAGAGAGTTGGTGTAGAGTGAGAACAGGAGGGGACCCAGCACGGAACCCTGAGGAACTCCAGTAGTAAGAGGACAAGGTTCCGACACAGATCCTCGCCAGGTTACCCGATAGGAGCGGCCGTCGAGGTAGGACGAGAGAAGGGAGAGAGCAGAGCCTGTGACACCAAGTTCCTGAAGGGAGGAAATAAGGATCTGGTGGTTGACCGTGTCAAATGCAGCAGAGAGGTCCAGAAGGATGAGGACAGAGGAGAGATAGGCAGCTCTAGCAGTGTGGAGTTGCTCTGAGACAGCAAGGAGAGCAGTCTCTGTGGAGTGGCCTGCCTTGAAACCTGACTGGTGGGGGCCAAAGAGGTTGTTACAGTGGAGATAAGAGGAGAGTTGATTAAAGATAGCACGTTCAAGGGTTTTGGACAAAAAGGGAAGAAGAGAGACCGGTCTGTAGTTGTTTTCTTCAGAAGGGTTGACGGTAGGTTTCTTCAGGAGGGGGTTGACTCTTGCCTCCTTCAGAGAATTGGGAAAACCGCCAGATAACAGAGCGTTATTGATAAGACAGGTGAGGAACGGAAGAAGGTCAGGTGCGATAGATTGTAGAAGATGTGATGGAATAGGGTCAAGAGGGCAGGTGGTCGGACGGGCAGAGGTTACTAGGGTAAGAATTTGGTTAGGAGAGAGGGCGGTGAAAGAGGAAAGTGAGGGCGAAAGAGGTGAGGTCGGTGGGACGCGAGAAGTAGGAAGTGGGTTTGAGAAGGAGGAGCGTATGTCAGCTATTTTCTTGGTGAAGTAGTTGACAAAGTCTTCCGGAAGAAGGGTGGAGGGGGGAGGAGGGGTAGGGGGTTCGAGGAGATTGGAGAAGATCGAGAGGAGTTAGAGTTAGAGTTAGAAAGAAATAACTTCTTTAATGTAATATATATATATATATATTAATGCATATAAACATACAAGCTAGACTAAAGAACTAATTGCATATTACTACCTCTTCATCTGTTGTGCTCTCATCTACTGCCCAACCCGGCCTGCATATGGAGTATTTGCTCCTGCTCTTTTGGAGTTCTTTCATACGGCTTTGGCAACAAATAGAAAGCCACTTCAAGCGGTTTTGCTCTCTTGGCAGGAACAAGATTTGCTGCAGGAAAGCGCCTCTTTCCTCTGGCCTTGGTAAACATACCTGGGAAGGACCTGTAGAAAACAAGTTTTTAAGTCTTTTCTTACTACATTAAAAGGTTGACAAAAAGGCTCTTGCATGATATATGAATATAGAAAAACTTGGCATTCTACTGCATACTTTCATCAAGTGCTACAGGCAATGATTTAGACCTTTGAAACCTATGATCATTTCTTATATAAATTTCACATTAGCCCTAAGTGAAACAGGTCTTTATAGGTTTTACTGAATGGTCACAAAAATTAACACTTAATTTCGATGGCTGCAATTTTAGTAAGAAGCTGATAATGCTACACAATGCTATGTCTATCATTACTTACTGTGGATAGCGGGTGGAGTTTTGACTGTACAAATTGACATCATTACAAAGTATGTATACATAAATTTGCATTTGAAATAGCAAATTTTTCTTTACCTGGTCATTTCCATTTGAACTGAGGGTCTTTCTGGCTGAAGGGCTGAACTCCCATATTATATATATATACTCCCATAACGTTACCCTGTAATCACAAATACAGCACAGAAAAAAACCCGTAGGAAGGATATTACAAATCAGTAGTACAAGTATAATATACATGATTTTAAGATAATCAGACAGGCAATATCCTTGTACTAAGTTTGACTAAAGCAGAATCATATCCAGCATGAGCTTAGCGGCCAGGGCATTCTTCTGATAATTGATCCATGCTGTAGGTGGTACGGGACACCTTACCCAGGATATAGTCGGAGTTCTCATAACCCGGTTACCAGCTTCACGCACGTAGTTACCAGACCAAGAGAACTCCATCAGTACCCCGGTTATTCCTGCACATACTGTCGGAGTAATGCGTCTGCATGTGCTCCGATCTTGAATCTAGAATTGATTGCTCTTCCTTGGGTTCCCGGATGTTGCGGTTGAATTTTTTGCAGTTGAATATTTTAACGTTGAATTCAGATAGATGACTTCAATGCATAAATATTCAGTGCTAGAAATTCAATCACCTTTTTCTTTCAAAATCCGATGACACAGATTTACTTCCATACTTTACATTAAATACAATCATAACTGTAGATTGGTGTTATTCTATTACAATTGCAGAATTGTAGTGGTTTTACAATATGGTCATTACTTTATGGATTATACAGTTTCAGAATCATGGCTATATTCTGGTGTGCACTATATGCATTTTATTAATTTTATGAACAGGGTTGTCAGTTTATTTCTAATATCCTACAATGCAGAAAGACAGAGACAAAGGGGAAGTAAATGCTGAAAAGCTACAGGTGAGGGAGGAAGCGCGTGTGTGTGTCTCTTTAAGAGCTGGAGCGTGCTATCGAGCATGGGGAAGAGGAGGAGGAGGAGGAGGAGGAGTGGATTGGTTGGCTGCATTGGAACAGCCCTCTTTAATGAGCAGAGATCTGAGGGAGAGAGACACACACCCAGATCAGCAGAGAGAGAGAGAGAGAGAGAGAGAGAGAGAGAGAGAGAGAGAGAGAGAGAGAGAGAGAGATTCAGCCATTGGAGGAGAGACCAAGACAGCAGGCAGGAAGGCAGGCTGTGCGTCAGCCGGCGCTCCGTAGGGAAACATGGAGACTAGCAGGAGATGCTGAAGAGGACAGAACATAGCAGTAACAGGATCATGTAGATGGATGGTGCTTCATCAAGCGGGTCAACCTAAAGGGAAACCACGCAGAGGATAAACCACTTATGGACGCAGTGGATTAAAGACCCGCAGACAGAGAGAGAGGGATTAGAGGAGGAGAAATTATTTTGATTGTCTGTGTGTGCGCACTTGTCGTAGACAGGGAGTGTGTTGGTGTGTCTGTCTGTGTGTGTGTGTGTGTGGATGAGGCAGGAGACTGCATTGTTGCTCTCCAGCACCACAGGACAGAAAAAAGACAAGCAGATTACCTTATGTGTTTTCTCCATTTTCTGTCTCTCCCTCTCTCTATGCATGTGTGTAGTCCCCCACTGTGCGAGTGTGTGTGTGTGTGTGAGTAAAGTGAGCGACAAAGTCTGACTTTTAAATGGTAGTTTTTTGCCGCATCATCTGGACAGGGATTGAAGAAAAAGAAAGAAAGACTGTTTTCTGTCTTTCTTCATCACACATGTCACACCTCCAATTTGGGCATTGGTGCTGATCAGAGAGCCTTTAAGGGTGGCTTCTATGCTGGAGGCTCGAAGGCTTGAAGGGCCGGGAGACTTCTCGGCTCTATACCTCAGAGAGGCGGAGGCATCATCAGGTAGGAGGCGGCCGAAGGCGGGGGGCACTAAGCGTTTAAGCAGGAGGAAGAGTTGTCGTAGACCGTGCAGGGCGATGGCCCGGCTGGTGAAGCTGCCCCATGGTTGAAAACCCTTCTGAGAAAGGATGATGGCAGCTCTGGTTCCACTCTCCCCCTCTCCCCCCCCGTCTGTCACCGAGAAGCTGGAAAGTGCTAGCCGATCCCACAAGGAGCCCACCAAGACGATGGTGTGAACACGGCCTTTCCCATCGCTCAAGAAGACCACTGACACCCCCGCGAAGGGGACACGTATTTGTTGCTCAGCTTGTTCATCCTCCCTTTTCTCCAAAAACGGCCGACAACAAGGGGTAACGCTGCTCTATTAGCATGGGAGTTCTCTCCCTCTCCCTCCCACTCTCTCCTACTCCACCGCCTCCCCACATCTGACCGTACCGACATCCAAGCTCCGCGCCGTGGACAACCAGTCCTTCTGCTCTTTCCCTACCTTCCCTACCTTTACCTACCTTCTTCTTTTTGTCGAGGCTTCAGTGGAATTGCCAAGACCTGTTTCATGCATGTCCACTGGCGGCAGGTTCAACTTTGACGATGGGGGGTCATACTGCGGTGGGTGGGAGGAGGGCAAGGCGCACGGCCATGGGATCTGCACGGGACCCAAGGGCCAGGGTGAGTACTGCGGCTCCTGGGCCCACGGTTTTGAGCTGCTGGGCCTCTATACCTGGCCCAGCGGAAACACCTACCAGGGCACCTGGGCTCAGGGCAAGAGACACGGCGTGGGCATCGAGAATAAGGGCCGCTGGGTATATAAGGGCGAGTGGACGCACGGCTTTAAGGGAAGATACGGCGTGCGGGAGAGCACGGGCACGAGTGGGAAGTACGAGGGGACCTGGAACAACGGACTGCAGGACGGATATGGAACAGAAACATACTCGGATGGAGGTAAGAGGGACGAGACACACAGGCAGATGCATTGTGGGCATTTTGGGAGTGGGTCGAAATGTGTGTATGTGGGGACGTGTGAACCAACCAGCACCTGTCGAGATCCGTTATTTGGCAGACAGACGATTGCCATCTGTAAAATGACTCCTTACTTGAGAATGATTGACATGGTGATGACAGATGTGCAATAGAAGGAGTTTTTCCTAAAGTCGCTTCCGGTCACGCTTTCTTCTTCTGTGCCTTGTCGACACACACACACACACACTCATCCAGAGTTAGGGCGTTGCAACAGGACCGTCTATGACAATGACTCTAATTTTCTACCTCTGTCTCTTCTCTCTGTATTTTTGTCCTCTTCATCCTCACCCCTCAGCGTCATGAGGACACACTGTGTATTTGGAGGCAATTCAGGCCATGCAGTCTTAAGGGATGAATAAAAAGTTGGAGGGACAGATGAGAACAGCAGCTCCCAAGTAACTCCCAAGTCCCAAGAAAAACAAGTTTTTTTAGAAAACAAGGATGGGTAGAGGGCTGAGACATCAAATCTATGTCTTCACCCTCCACATTTCCACACTTAGATGTACCATGCCACTTTAATTACTTCTGTCTGCTGTAAAATATCTATCAAATACACCACACAGAACGTTCACACTCCAGTGAGAGTGTTGAAAGCTCATATTCCAATATTCTTTCACTCCAAACCAGTAACTTGGGGTTTTAAATGGAGTCCACAACCATTAGTTGCTCTTTGGGCCAAATGCAAACATCCCATGCTAACATGCTAATGCCAAGCTAGTATAGGGTTGGCCTTCTTAGCTCACAGCACTAGCATGATTACATTTGCTAATTAGCCCGGATCTTGTATTTTTGTAATCAATACGTGACAGCCACAGCGTGTCAGCTTCCGCTCATTAAACGCACACTGTTTTTTCAAAATGAACTTCCGCCTTCGCAGAAAATCCTCATTATCTTTCCAAAATAAACGCCCATGGTAGATTTACTTTAGTTTGCAACAAACATTTGGGAAAATAAGTTTGTTTTATAATAAAAATAGGTATGGTGACTTGGTTTTGCATGGTACATGAACAGTTAGTTTGGTTAACCATTCACCCCAACCTCCATCTCCCTCCACTCTTTCGATACGTCAAGGGCTCCAACCTCCTAATACTGACATGGAGGCGTTTATATAGCCGTTGTTTGACAGCCTGGTGTGTCCCAAACAGATGCCGCAGAGACGAATTGGGAGATAGAACAGGTGGTTCTTCGGATAAGCCAAAGACTAATCACCACCAAGGTGGATACTAAATCTAACCTAATCTAAAAATGAACTATAGCTGAAACTGATGTAGTTAAAGTTTTGTGCCAGTCTAGTGGCTGTTGAAATTTTTGGTGTTTTTTTGAGTGTTCAGCACATCCTGAGAGCCATAACGCAAGCAGAACCACGAATACAACACAAACAAGTAGGATTGCCAAATATATTTCATTTTTTTACTAATATGACTCGTATTATAAATCTGACAATATTGCCAAATTACGTGTTTGCCACTATAATCTAGGTTCATATCCATAACCTTTTTTAATGTTACTATAATTAAAGGTTACAATATTTATTGTAATAAATCTTTAGTTCATAATTCCAATATGTAAACATCTTTAAGTTGTAGAATACTATTTTGAACCATCAGATATACCCTGTACTTGAAATCAATGGCATCAATGCACTTTGAGTCTCTAAGGCCGAGGGCAGTCACTGTTAATGAGACGCCGCGCACCATGTGGATTCCTGCTTAAAAATAGACACATACATGCAATAAAAGCGTTGTTACATAACTCTACAACTTGCAGGCCGTTTTGCAATGCCTTGACCACACACACACACACACACACACATCCACACAGACACACACGTACCCAAGACAACACTCCTGAGCTGCCTGATAAAATCCACAGACCAGCCTGGTTTGAGGGGTTTAATCAGGTCAGAGGAGAAGATAACCAGGCAGAAGGGGCAGACTGTTGGATGAATGAATTGTGTTAGAAAAATTCTCACTCGACACCGGTGTAAAATCATCAACAGGATATTTAATGTTTGCAAACAGGAGACAGAGTTGACACACATACAAGTCATGTGCCAAGTTTACTCAAAGGTTTTCATCTTCGGAGCAGGAATATGTACTTGGAAGATAAACATGCTGAAACGGGGGGGGTGGGGAGGGGGGCTTTTTTACGAAAAGAATGTTTAATTAAGTCTGACTACAACGGCACACAATTTAAAAGTAAGATGATGATAAATAACGCAAAATCATAGATTATACACAGTTGTCATACCCAACGATGTTTATGATTTGGGCTTTGTCATGTTTAACTTTATTCCTATACATCTTTTGTAATGTGTAATTAAGAAAAGTACTCTTCTAATTATGTCATATATCATACCTCCCTCTCTCCCTTTGGTATTTGGTTAATTTCAAAAGTTTCAGAATGAACTCGGTTCACAGCAGATGTTACCTTTGCATCAATGCTGCAGGAGTTTCAGGCAGAAGATTAATGTAGATGTGTGCTGCTGAGGTTGTTAATAGAGCATCAATGGTGTTTTTAAAATTAAATGTGTGAAATTTAAATGAAGTAATAGCCCAAGTTCAGACAGAATGACTACTCATGTCTTAGCCTGGAGCTTATTTCACACGCTCTCTCATTATTTCCTCGTAGTCGTTGTTCAGAGTTGTCAATCAGGACATCAGCTGATTAGATCAGCTAATCCTCTCCATCCAAAAAGAATGTTGTGTTAAAAAATGAAGAAACGCCGGACGGACAAAGGGCATCGCAGATTTAAAAGTTAAAATCAAATGTATTTAATAAAGGAGATTGTGTTGTGGTAAAAATAACATCTCAGCTGAGGAGCCGCTGGTCTCAGCAACCAACAGGCCCCAGGTCAGTCCTTTGACCATCCCTAGTGCCCGTTTGTCGCCTCCACCAGCGAACTCGAGAACAATGGTTCCTACAGGTATTTATAACAATGCTCAAAGGTGTGAAAGTTAGTGTCCACACCTCTGGGAGTGGTCTTCTGGTGAGTTCAATGTAACTCGGATTTCGAATGGCCCTCAATATCAGTTGTTGTTCAAGTATTACATGCATGCATTCCAGTTGATTACATTACATCAAATATAATCATAACTGCATTGGTATTATTCTATTACAGTTGCAGAATTACAGTGGTTTTACAATATTGTCATTACTTCATTGATTACACAGTTTCAGAATCATGGCTGTATTCTGGTTTACACTCAATGTATTTTATTTATGAACCGTGTCGTCAGTTTATTTCTAATATCCTACAAGAAGAACGAAACTTCTGGTTCTGCCTTTTTAAAATATGGTTGTCTCCCTACCATCGTTTTGCAACCCTCCACCTCCCAATCTCCGCCCAGTCATCATTTGAGCAGCCTCATCAGCAAACACCACCATGTCCGGTGGCCACGGGGGGGTTTATCTTGCTGTTGCTCAAGGGAGACGTCCATCAAATACAAATCTCCCTATAGAGTCTGAGCGCCAAAGACTCGGAAGACTTGACAGCAGAGCTAAACAATGAGTAGTAATAAATACTTTTATTTTGTACTTGTTAATGACACCAATAGGAAAATGCCACTTGTTATTAAATGTTATTCCTCCAGCGTAACATAGCGAGATTTGCTTGCTAGCTGTCCTCTAGTAAGATAGCTATCTTGCTAATCCCACCACGCCCCTTTTAATGCTTCGCTGGCTCTAGAATATGAGCTGAATTTATTTTCAACTCATCTGGCGAAAGCAATGCAGTGTCTGGAAACAGCATTAGATTGTTACATTTCATTCTCGCTCGCTACTCAATGTAACTAATGAACTGCTCAGTTAGCAGCTGCTTGCCAGAGGTGGGTTTGTTTGTCTGGGAAGTTTGCCACTTACAAGTTTGCATTGGCAATGGTAGACATAGAAATGGCCTCCTCTTAGAACATCCAACCAAAGTGATTAATGTCCCTTTTTGCTCCTTTTTAATTTTTATTTATAACCGGAAGTTGCCGCTTGCGTTGACCCCACAAATCATCCGCCCACGTTCAGCAACAATATTGCTTCGGCAGATATTGGTGCACGTGTGACTGTGCCCGAGTGCCGCCTTGTCCAAAGCAATAATAGTCAGGAGCTGAGACATCCGAAGATGCTCTGTTGCCGACATACTTTTAGATCACGCTGTGCACTTTAGAGCCAGCTTCATTTCCCAGTCCCACTCTGCCTTCCAACTACACCTGATGCAACGTCTCTCGCAAACGCCCCTCTACTAACTCATTTCTGCTGTTTGGCTTTTGGTTCCTCTCCTACGTTTGCCAACATTCCTCTCTCCTCTCCTCTCCTCTCCTCTCCTCTCCTCCCACCTTGCGTTTCCCTCCCTCGCACCGCTGCCTTTCCACACAACCGCTCTGTACAGTGGGGTTTCCATAGCAACGCTCACCGACATGCAGCAGGTCAACGTGTCACAAGGGACTGAGTGTTCCTCCCCGCTATTGGCTGCCCAGCCAGCTCTACCGGCCTCCGATTGGCTGGCCTTGCCTTCCGGTGTTTACCGGAGTTACGGTGTTTACTAACATGGAGAGCTTAGGTGACTGATTATAACAACCACACACCCACACACACACACACCCACACACACACACACACACACACACACACACACACACACACACACACACACACACACACACACACACACACACACACACACACACACACAGACAAAGAAATAGAGTGAAGCAGAAAAATGAAAAGGCCGCTTCAGCAATCATTTTAGTGAGAAATGAAGTGAGTCACCGAGGGAGAGGCAGCAATTACAACTGTCGCTGTGTTCAACGGCAGCAACCGCTAGAGATTACAGCACCAGTGGGTGTTGTATCTGACTAGATAATACGCCACACAGTGTTAAAAGCACAACAATTCATTCAGCTGTCCTGCTGCTACATAAAAACTCAAGCGCA